CTTGAACTCACTATGTAGCCTAGGCTGGCCTCAGACTCGCAGGGATCCTCCTGCCTCAGCCTCCCCAGTGCTGTGATTACAGGTGTGTGTTACCACGCCTGGCTTAAATTCTTTTTAAAAAGTTTTTTTTTAGTTACAGTGTTGTAGATCTCCGTATCATGTAATAAAAGTATAATAATCAGGCACCTAAAGACTTTAGTAGTCTGTGTGAATCTAAATGAATTTTTCAATACTGCCATTCAGTTTAGTGTGCACACTTATAAATTAATCTCATATTTGTAGCTGCAACTTATCACCTGCAGTTTTTCTTCCTCTCTACCACTTTTAACAGCTATAGTTCACTAGGTCTCACTCTTTTGTGTTGACCTCAGTATGCTGCGACGAAAACCAACGCGCCTGGAGCTAAAACTTGATGACATTGAAGAGTTTGAGAACATTCGAAAGGACCTAGAGGTAAAAGTACAACTTTCACACCCTTAGGACATATTTAAAACGATATTTATAGGTTCTAGGAATTAGGCCCTGATAGTCTAGGGCGTTCTGAACCTTAGACTCTTGTACCAACAGTTTATTGGAAATCTCTACTTTGGTGCTTTACAGGTATCTCAGATTTAATGCATTATCTTCCTGTGACTGCCATAGCAAAGTACTGCATGTGGTGGCTTACAACAACAGCAATTAATTTTTTCCTACTTCTGTAGGCCACAAATCTAAATTAGTATCATCAGGCTTAAGATGAAGGTATCAGGGGCTGTGTTCTCTCTAAAGGCTCCAGGGAGACTCCGTGTCTTGGCTCTTTAGCTTCTGATGGCTGCTGATGTTTCCCTGCTTGTGGCCATTTCAGAGCAATCTTCTCCCTGGTCACATTGCCTATTCCTGTTCTGTCTGTGAAATCTCCCCATCTCCCTCTTACAGGATATATGTGAATAGTTTTAGGGATTACCTGGATAATCCAAAAGAATCTCCCTGGCTCAAGATCCTTAATTTAACTACATCTGCAGAAAAATTTCCCCCCTATGGGTTCTAGGAAGTGGTGGCGAACCTGTGGCATGTGTGCCGCAGCAGTCTATTTGTATCATTGAAAGTTCTAGGGGCTGGGGATTTAGCTCAGCGGCAAAAGCGCCTGCCTGGCAAGCGCAAGGTCGTGAGTTCGGTTCCC